TTCTGCTGACCACGCCCACCGCAGTCAAGCTCAAGGGACAGCCCCAGTGGATTCACCTGTCAAGAATAGAAAGGGCTCCTGCTCCTGCCCCGTCTATACCAACACTGACTTCCAGGTACACCTGTTCCCCGCTTGGGCCTACCAAGGTAAGGCTGTCTGGCATCCCTGAAGATCCGGGTGAGTAACACTGAGCTAACTGCTCTCCTCTCCAAACACCTCACTACCTCATCCCTTAGGTGACCTCCAAGCCATGGACATCCAATCTTTTCAGTAATATATTTCCTTTTCATCTTTGTCCAGCCCCCTGCTTGAGAAGACTTCCTCCAGACTTCATCCAAGAGATTCACTTCTTGCAGACATCATGGAACTAGCAGAGCTGAAAGCAGTCAGCTTCTCCTACTAGGTCACATCCCAGGCCACCTCTGGTCACATGCCTCCCAGACCTGAGGTCACATCCAGATCCAGTGTGGCCACACCTTTCCCCCACCTGGCCACACCTCTTCCTGTCCCTGGCCTAGGTAAGTCCTGGCACAGAGGTGGGTCATTCCTCTTCCTTCCCTCTCCCCCCTTTCCTTTTTCAGCCATGCTTCTCCACCATGCTTGGTGGGGGCAGCCGTTCAGTCAAATTAACTTCTTTTCCTGCCTGAATAGCGTGTGGTATTCTTTTCATCGGCTACCCAATAAAACCTAGAATTTCCTAACCACCCCTTTTTTGTGAACCGAACTGCCTTGAGACACCACGTGAGATTTTTCACCAATACCATTGCTGGCTTTCACATCCACGTCCACACCACTTCTCTACTCTGGTGAGTGAAACTACTCTCTACGGCTCTCTGTTGCTCAGTCTCTGTCCAGACGTGACACCATGCCAGAGAGCTCCTGTGGCCTTTAGCTGAAAGGCCAGTCACCTCCGAAGCCGAGGACGCTTGGTTTTGGGGGTGTGGCCATTTCTCTCTAGAGGGCTCTGGGGGAAGTCGGGATGCTGCTTCTGCCTGGTCAGCTCTCCTTCACTCACCAGACTGACTCTACATTTAATGGAGTGCTGCAAGTCAATTTTTCTGCCATTCTCAGTTTTAAACAGTTTTTGCCACTGCAATGGTAAATGGTCAGAAGTCTGTTTACTTTCAGGTTCTCTTTGTTCTCTCTCTGCCAGTCATGTCCAACTTTCCCTATCTCTCTCTTTCTCTTTTCTACATGTTGGCCTGTGCCCTGAAGAGTGCGATGCAGGCTGGGTCCCAGGAACCCCCCTCTAGATTCCCTCTCAAAGGCTAGCCATTCTAGGTTTAAAAATGGTCAGAGTTTCCATTTGTTCAGGTTTCCATCAATGCCTCATGAAACTCCTCCAGACTTCATCGAAGGACTCAGCACCCAAGTGACAGCTGCTGCCTGCCGCCTTCTCCCAGAGTGGACCACATCTCAGCCTTTTACCCCTACTGTCGACACCCCTTGCCAGCAGGAAATAGCCAGAGAGAATCTTCACCCTTTTTCATAATTATCAAAAGGCTGCAATGTAAGGTCCATTCCTGGACAAGGAACAGACCTCGCCCAGTACCTGTGTTACCTAGGCAACTGGGACACCTGGAAGAGGTCACATCTGCATCAGATGAGGTCACGTCTTAACCTGATGTGGCCACACCTTTCTCCCACCTGATCCCACTTACCTGGTCACACCTTTCCCCGCCCCTATCCTATATAAGGCCTAACCCAGGGCCAGACACTCTCTTTTGCCAACTGCTTGGAGTGCCAACCTTGCCTGGTCCCAGCAGGTCTACTGAATAAACCTACCCCTTACCTGAATACCAGGTGCATGGTGCAGTTCTTACTCGGCTGCCTCTTTTTTAAAAAAACCTAACACTGACTGTTACACCCACAATGAGCTCACTGCCAGTGCTAAGTTGTGCTGGACCAATTCTGTCCTGAAGCCGGACCCTGGGACTCACTGTTCTGTCACTCAACTGCCTTGTGTTCAATAAGAAGGAGCTAAGCCTTCTGGGTTCCTTGGCAGGCAGTGCAGGGGAGATGCAATCTCGGGTCCTGGGAGCCCTGTGAGGGGTGCAGGCCCAGACCCCAGGGCCACCTCCTCACTCACACCTGCAGGTGACAAGGGCTCAGCGCCCCCTGCTGGCCTAGGCTGCATGCACGTTTGTGTCTGGGCTCCCACTGGGCTCCTCTCACTATGTCTCTTGCACAGTAATACAGGGCCGTGTCCTCGGTTCTCAGGCTGCTCATTTGCAGGTACAGCGTGTGAACCGGCGCTTCACAGAGTCTGGGTACCTTGTGCTACTACCATCTGTATTAATTAGTGCAATCCACTCCAGCCCCTTCCCTGGAGCCTGGTGGATCCAGCTCATCCAGGAATTACTGAAGGTGAATCCAGAGGCTGCACAGGAGAGTCTAAGGGACCCCCCAGGCTGCACCAATCCTCCCCCAGACTCCACCAGCTGCACCTCATACTGCACATCTGCAAACACAGAGAATCCTGGTCAACCATGGTCACACATGTCCAGGGTTCCTCCCACTCATGTCCATTTGCACACTCAGTGTGTCTTGTCTCCATACATCACCTTTCAGCAGAGCAACAAGGAGAACCCAGCGCAGACCCAGCTCCGTGGTGAGTGCTCTGTGTCAGCCTGAGCCCTGAATGGTTCACCTGGAATCCAGGGCTGACGTCTCTCCACGCCTTCAGGGTCAGGGCTGGCTGGTTTTAGTGAGTAGAGGAAGTCCCTATTTGCATGTCTTCTGCTACATAGTGAGAGCAGGGGTGGAGGTGTCAGGGAGGGCAGTGCTGAGGCAGATGTGAGAGTCCTGAGGGGCATTGCTACAAAGATGGCCTCCCAGAACACACGGCATCCCATTGCTTCCACCTGCTGGTTATCCACGTATTCATCCCATGTTGATCTGAATAGTACAGTCACCTCCCTGCACAGACGGGAAAGTACACACAGGTTCCACACAGCAGTGTGCTCTGGGGAGAAGATGTCATGTCTGCGACGTCATCTGTCCTTCCTCTCCCTCATTGCTGAGGTCGGTGTCCTCTGCTCCATTCTTGAGCTGAGTGGGTCACGGTCCTCTAGTGAGAGCAGGAGAGACGTGATGCACTGCAGGAGCTGCTGAAAGAAGACTCAGAGAGCCAGGCTCATGGGGACACTGCTGACAAGCCTGCATGTCTTCTGTCATCATCTGCATGTCTGTCACTTCCTCTCATCTCATCGACTGCCTACTGCCAACAACCTCACTGAGGATAAATGCCTACATGAACCTCACAGTCACCAAGTGTGCACTTGACATGCATTAGCCTAGGCACAACTACACAATATCTGTACAAGTCTTTGCCAGCTCATCAATGGGTTTTACAACAGTTGAGTGTTGAGGGTTCCTCTCACAGTCTGGATGCACAAATGCTGTTGGGTGTGGGATTTGTCAACATTTCTTCCTCTCCAAAGCATGTCATCTATTTATTTTTCACTTGAGCCGAAATTTGATGAGTTTCAACTTACATGTTTAATTGATCCTGATATAAAATCTAAATTATCCGTAGGATATTCCATGGGCTCTGTATTCTGCATAGAAAGTCTTGATTTCCCTGTGTCTTCATTGGACACCTGGCCAGTTGTTGATGTATGTGCACATAGATGTGAATGGGAGACCTGACCTGTTATTGATGTGTGTGCATGTGTCTGAGCATGTGTGTACAGAGGCATTCTTATGGCACACTTTTCATAATACTACTCACAAGTATGGCTTCTTACCCAAACTTGAGTTAAAAGTGTCAGGAGGGTTGTGCTTCTGGGTTCCATAACTTGGAGGTCCAAGTGGAAAGTCAGGTCTTGGTCCCCAGCATGTCAGCACAGAGAGGAGGTGAACGTTCAGAATGGGGCCTGGTGGGAGGGGTGCAGGCCCTGGGTCTGGGGTTGAACAGGACAGAGCCTCCCTCAGAACCAGAGGCCCTGATGTCCCACAGTCATTTCAGTCCCTGAGGGTGACGTTTATAATGTGTGTGTGTCTTATGTTAAAATCTCAGCAGAACACAGAAGATGCTGCAGTGTGGGTCTGGGTTGGGGGTGGCTGCCTCTGAAATGTCCCTGGTTCTCATTTCTGTTTTCCTGGTCAGCAGCCCCGGCCTCTCTCTGTCCACAGCAAATCTTAGGATTTGTTCCTCTGGCCACTGCCATACTGCGGCACCTCCTTAGAGACCTCTCTGTTTATTACTCGTTGACTCTTTCTGACTTTACATTTATCCTTTTGTTCTCTTCTCTCGTTTTGTTACAAGAAGTCAAAGAATGCATTCCAAAATACTTGACGCTGCTGAGAGATTCCCACTCCCATAAGCTTGCTGGCCTGCCCTAGGTGGACTTCTACAGTCACCCAAGATGTGAACGTACCTCAGCCACTTCTGCCACGTCCTCCCTAGGATGTCCTGTGCTCCATGCTCCCTGCCCTGTCCCTAATTTCTATCTGAGCAGCATCAGAATGGCCTTTGCCATCCATCTTCCTACCAACTTTCTGAACATGTAGATATGAGCAGCTCGGCTCACAACAATGTTTTGGGCAGTGAAGTTCAAGATATATAAAGGTTGTCCCACAGAATTAAGGTGCAGATAAAACATTTCTTTTATTTAGTGGCCTTGCAGTTGTTGTAACAACACAGCATCATGCATCCCAGCATGTTCCTGGTGATGATGTAGCTAATGTAAGGTGCTTCTAGTTGCATGAAATGGGCAATACATTGATGTCCAGTTTAAATTTGATATGACAGTAAATGTGTTTCCTAACAATCTTGAATTCTCTATATCATGAAACACTATGTGTTCCATTATGTCTCAATGTTTCTAGGAGATTTGTTGGCAGCATTTCTTATTATATTTGGGTTGATCTTGTGTTGTTTGTTTTATCTCTAGTCTTCCTCAGATCTAATCTTGGTGGACATGGCAAAGTGAATTTTACCAGTGTGTTATTCTCTGTGTGTGTTCAGGAAGTGACATCCTATGTTTAAGTAAATCTCACAGTGGCAGGGCAGATACAGAGTCGAACTGGAGTAGGATGAGTACAGGCAAGGCAGACACAGAGTGGACCTGGCATAGGATGAGCACAGGCAGGGCAGATACAGAGGAGAACTGGGATAGGATGAGCACAGGCAGGGCAGACAGACAGTGGAACTGGGGTAGGATGAGCACAGGCAGGGCAGACACAGAGGAGCACAGCTGGAAGTTTCCCTCTGCTCCTGGCCCTGGGGCTGAGCCTGAGCTCCCTGTGTGCTGAGCGCCCCCTGCAGGCCAGAGCCCAATGCAGGGAGGTTTGTGTCTGGGCTCTCACTGAACTCCATGCACTGTGTGCAGCACAGTAATACGTAGCCGTGTCCTCTGCTTTCAGGCTGTTCATTTGCAGGTACAGCATGTTCTTGGAGTTGTCTCTGGAGATGGTGAACCGGCCCTTCACAGACTCCATGTATTTTTGCTGGCTTCCATCATACCATATAACCGCCACCCACTCCAGCCCCTTCCCTGGAGCCTGGCGGACCCAGTGCATGTAGTAATCACTGAAGGTGAATCCGGAGGCTGCACAGGAGAGTCTCAGGGACCTCCCAGGCTGCACCAAGCCTCCCCCAGACTCCACCAGCCGCACCTCACACTGCACACCTGCAAACACAGAGAATCCTGGTCAGCAATGGTCACACACATGTCCACTGTTCCTCCCACTCATGTCCATTTGCACACTCAGTATCCCTTGCTCCCCATAAATCACCGTTGAACAGAGCAACAAGGAGAACCCAGCACAGCCCCAGCTCCATGGTGGTGGTCTGTGCTCAGTCACTGGTGGAATCAGCTCACAGAGCTCAGGTCAGGGATGGGCTGGTTTTCATGGGCAGAGGGACGTCCTATTTGCATGTCCTCTGCTATAAAGCAGCTCTGGGGCAGAAGTCTCAGGAGGGCAGTGCACAGAGGAGATGCAGGTGGAAGGCAGAGTTTGTTAGTTTAGTGTATAAACTATGAAATGTCTCCAATCAATTGGCTTCAAAAAAACCAGATTTAATATGAACTTCTTTACAGAAGTTTAACTCTGCTTCCATTAGTCAAGTTTGCTAATCATTTGTTTTTTAAAAAACATTTTCCCTTTTAATTTTGTATTTTTACTAATTGTTTGTATTTGGGAAAGTAATGGAGTCACATAAAATCTGGACAGGAATGAATAAATATCACAGTGATATTCACCAAATACTGTGGAAAATGAATTGGAAATCTTATGGGTGGGGACAGGAAGGAAGGATTGGGAGAGAGAAACAGAAGGGGAAAATGGTTCATTAAGAACTGCACTGAGAACTGGAAAGGTGGCTCAGTGGTAGAGCGCTTGCCTTGCATGCCTGAGGTCCTGGGTTCAATTCCCCAGCACCACATAAGCAAAAAGAAAAAAAGCTGGAAGTGGCGCTGTGGTGCAAGTGCTAGAGCGCTAGCCTTGAGCTGAAGAACTGAGGGGAATCGTCCAGGCACAAAGTTCAGGCCTCACGACGGGACCAAAAAAAAAAAAAAAGCAAGAACTGCACTGATTGTACCTGATTCAGGTAACTGTAACCGCTCTGTACATTAGCTACTCAATTTTTTTAATTAAATAAAAACAAAATAAACTAAGTTGTTCTATAAAGATGTTGCTGTTCAGTGAGGCACTTTATGAACACACTGAGGCTTAATCAACTTTGCCCATTTCAACATTCCTGCCCACCCCACCTCTTCCCTCTCTCTGCTTAATGTTCAGGACATGTATGCTGACATCATTGAACAAAGCAGTCATGGATACAAGGCATGTGGATCTGTGTCATTCCTTCCTCACCTTTCCCCTTTGTCCCACCCTTAGCTCAGTGTTCTCAATTCTGTGGCCTATGCACTGTATTCTTGCCTGCATTCTCCACGTTGTCTCCTTCATTCTTCTACCATTTGCCCCTCATCTCTCCACTCCCAGTACCCTCTTTCTGGTGCTTACTTTGTTGGTCTTTGACTTAGTCTTTGTGAAGAGCTGTACTCTTTGATCTCTCCATAGGGTCTATTGTATGTGTCTCCCACTGAGACATATAACAACAGCAGGAGAGGACCATTAGCATCGCTGTTCTGGGAAGCAGGGATGACCTGAGCTCTCTGCTCTTATTGCACATGGAGCACTGCTCTCATCCATGCACATTGTGAGAAACCTGTCAGCCAGGAAGGTCACCATGTTCGCCCCAGGTCCCTACCCCCATATTACCCCCTTCCTCACTTGTCTCTGAGGTGCCTTTTCTCTAGGCCTTTACACAAACACAGCCTTGATACTGAGGCGCGGCAGCCTGGCTTTTGAGTGACCCAGGACTGGAAATACCCCTCGTCAGATCAATGCCGCACATTACAAGCCAAGCCTGTTGAAGGTTGCAGTGGAGGTGTTGTGTGGATGGAATGGCATTCCTCACTAATTCCTCTCTGGCAACCTGGGTGGATCTGAGTGGGAACAGCCCAGAGAGGATGACATTCCACCACAGAGGCAGCAACTGCAGCAGGCTCTGTGGGAGGTTCTAGATCTCTTCCTGATGGCCAATCGCAGGAGCTCCCACCCACCCTGCACCTCCACAGCCCACGTGCTCCAGGAGGACCTGGCCCCAGCCGGTCCTCAGTCCCATGTGCACAGGCTCAGGACAGTGAGGTGATGCAGGTGAAATCCCAAGTGATGACTGTTTTTACACTTATCCATGTCCCCTTAGCTACAGGTATCCCCAGAGCTTCCCGCCAGAGTCCATAGAGAGGAGGACAGGACGGTCCAGGGCACGCAGCCTGGGGACACCAGTGAGTTCTTCCCAGGCATGCAGGAGCCAGGGACACAGCCTCATTGACCTCCAGGTCCCAGTACTGGAAATGGGGTCTAGAGACTAAATACAGGTCATGTCTGCAGGAGATTTAGTGTGAAGGACAGGTGTGGACAACACAGAGACAATTAGCAACACATATGTCCTTCTAGGATCAAGCATTGACCAGATCCAGAACTGTGGATGAGAATCATAATCTACAGCGTGTGTAGAAATGGACGGAGGCCGAGGAGCTGGTGGGGGTCACTGGGCCTCTGAAGGTAACCACAGCTCAGCATTGCACTCGACTGGGCTCAGTGGGTCACAGAGCAGCCCCCGGACCTGACTGATGGCCCCTCACATGTCACCAGCAAGAGGAAAGGGGACAATGGGATCAGAGCCGGGCTGGATGCTGGGCTGTGTGAGCAGAACAGTGGGCCTTGAAAGCCATCAGTGACATGGAGGCCCTGGCTCTGCACAACATCCCGTGCACTCCGACCTGAGGATAAAGACTGACCTAGCCAGGGAGTCCACTGCGTCTGTCCCGAGTCTGAGAGGAAAGGACTGAGCAGGGATCTTGACCTTCCTCAGATTTGACCTCAGTGATCTCAGCAGTGTCCACCGACCATGCATGGTGAAGAGTAAGGAGAACACCGTGGACAGCTCTGCGGGGGACGCTGCGTCCTGTGGAGAGGCCAGGCACACAGAGGAGTCAGGGCCTGAGCTCCACAGCTGTTCCTGTGACTGCCATGACCTCAGTGTGTGCCCAGCGCCCCCTGCTGGTGCTGACTGAGCATGACCTCAGTGTGAGCCCAGCGCCCCCTGCTGGTGCAGAACGCCCTGCAGGGAGGTTTGTGTCTGGCCCACACTGGATTTCCTGCACTGTGTGTCTGTAGCACAGTAATAGACGGCCGTGTCCTCCACTCTCAGGCTGTTCATCTGCAGGTAAAGTATGTTCTTGCTGTTGTCTTTGGAGATGGTGAAGCAGCCCTTCACAGAGTCTGTGTACTGTATGTTACTACTACATAAATGGATGAAACCCACTCCAGCCCCTTCCCTGGAGCCTGGCGGAGCCAGTTCATCCAATAACCACTGAAGGTAAATCTGGACACTGCACAGGAGAGTCTCAGGGAAGCCCCAGGCTGCACCAAGCCTCCCCCAGACTCCAAAACCTGCATGTCACACTGCACACCTGCAAACATAGATTATCCAGGTCAGCAATGGTCACACACATCCACGGTTTCTCCGTCTCTGCTCTCCTTACACACTCAGAGTCCCTTCTTTCCTGCAAATTACCTTGTAAAATGGCCACAAGGAAAACCCAGGTCAGAGCCCCCTCCATGGTGGAGGTCTGTGCCCAGTGCTGATCTCAGGATGGACCCCTGGAAGTCAGGCCTGACCTGCAGAGCTGCAGCTTTTCATGAGCAGAGGGAGGCCCCATTTGCATGTCCTCTTGGTATATAGCCAGCTCTGGGGTGGAATCTGAGCAAAGGCAGTGCAGAGAAGACAGGAGAATCAGGAAGCCAGCAGTGACAATGATTACATGGAAGAGAACACAGACCTCATCCCGCAGCAGAGCGAATGCTTTAGGAGACCTCCTCTTACTGTATTTTACACAGCACAGTCAGTCTTCACTCACATTAGGTATCATGATGTGTGCATGTGTCACATTGTTGGTGGTATGAATTTTTAATTGAAGAGTCTCTTGATTGCTAGAGAGGTGCACTGCCCCTTGAGCTGTGTGTCCAGCCATTTTTGCTGTATTTTCTTTAGTGATTTTGGGGCTATGACCATGCATTTTTCCTGGTGGTATGGGTGGTGTTCTCCTATCTGTGCTTTCTGTGCAGCTGAATGGATTGCTGTGCATGACCGTGTTTATCTCTGGGCTGACACTGTGTCTATGGGACTGGCTCCAGTCATTCCTGCCAGTCTCCCCTACTGAGGAGGGGCAACCAACCCATCTGACCATTTTGTCACTTTTAAACTATGGAAATGCACTTATTTTATTTGCTGGAAACATGTTTAGCTTTACCACATAGAGGTCTTGTTTATAACATTTCAAAAGCACCACAGCACAGGGAAATCTGCTTCACCAGCAGCAGAGTCAGGAAATGGGGCATTCTTCCGGAAGCAAGTCCTTGGCTTCCGCTCTACCCCTCCTCCCACCAGCAGTGGTTGTGGGTTAAGGAAGGCTGTGTGCTTCCTACGGCAAATATGCTAAGGGGATCATATTAGGGTGATCATTTTGTGTTCACTTTTCATTTACTTTTATTTTTGGTATTTGGGTTTGAAATCACAGCCTTGTGTTTGCTCAGCACGCTCTCTGCCATGTCTTCAGCTCCTTTGACTCTACGCTGTTTCTCACTTAAGGTGAAATGACTTTGTCCAGGGCTGGCCTCATGCTGTCATCTTCCTAGGATGCCCATTATATTTGAGTTTACAGGTGTGGGCCCATGCATGGATTATTGTGAGATACAGTCTCATCAACTTCTTGTGCAGGCTGGCCTCAATCCATAGTTTGCTGGATATTTTCTCCTGCATAGCCACCAAGTTCAGCTCAGTGGTGTCTTAGTCCATTCTTGGTGGTATAAAGGTATCCCTGATGGGGAAGCCTATACAAGGTGAGTATTTGTTTCTCATAGTCTGGGGTCAAGGTGTTCAAGGTCAAGCACTTTTCTGTCTGTTTTGGGCTGTTTTTCTGCTTCCTAGATGGTCTACATCCTGTGTCCTCATGTGGCAGAAGAGACACCTGCATCCTTCCCTTGCAGAATGGGAAGGAAAGTTCAACTCCCCTCCTCAAGGGGACAGGAGGACAGTCACCATCCATGAGTCAGGCTAAAGCATTAAATTCCAGGTCATGAATGTTGGGGAGCCAAGGCATGCACCCCATAGCTTCCCACCTCGGACTGGACTCCTTTCACATTGTACCTTCCAAATGATTTATCCATAGCAATGGCAGCAAAGCGCTAGTGCCCCCAGGGCTAATTTTACATTCAGATTCCAAGGTTTTGCTATCGTCTAAATCAGAGGGTGTTGAGTCACAAGTTACTGGTGTTGTAAATACAACATGAGCCTGGAATAGGGCAGAAATTCCCAGAGGGCTGATGGGAAAAAAGGGTAACCATAGTTACCAACAAAATCCAAACATCAACTAGGAGACATGAAGCCTGAGGACTGAATGATTTTGCATGACTTGAGTTCCTGATGGGCTCACACAGTGTGGACGTGTACACATGAAGTCTCAGTCATTTATATATTGTACTGGGTACAGGTGTGTATACATAGTGTGGACCTGGACACATGTGGTCTCTCTCTCTCTCTCTCTCTCTCCCACCCTCTCTCTCTCTCTCTCTCTCTCTCACACACACACACACACACACACACAGACACGGTACTGGGCACACCTGGGCAAGGAGCCCTGTGTGTGGGGTGTGTGGGTCTGCAGCTCTCCCAGGCTGGATTTTCACATGAGCTTTGTCTCCTGCAGTACTGAGCACAGGTCACCCCACAGGTCAGTTAGGCTTTGCCTCTCTGGGGTGCCCAGCCCATAGTTCTGAGGACACTTTCTAGTGGTCTTCCTGCACTGTCCCCATTTCTCTCGTTGTCTCTGCCTGTCCCCAGCCATCCATGAATCAGATGGTCTCCACACATCCATCTTGGATTCTGTGCCCTGCAGAGAGACCGTGTGACACCCCGAAGCCTGAGCTCCGCACAGGGTCAGCACTGAGCCCCACGCTGCCAGGACACAGGAGTCACCCCTGGGAAGACTGAGGTGGCCACATTGGCAGGCAGGGCGGTGTGGAGGGGTCTGTCCAGGGCATCCTGGGCTGCACGGTGCCCGAACCATTCCTGCCCACTCTGCCCTCATCCTGAGCCCTGTGTCTGTGACGGAGTGGCTGCTCCAAGGCTCCTTTCAGTCTCAGCTCAGGGAGCTGCACTTGGCTTCCTCTTTCCATCACAGTCTCTTATCAGAGCTCCTGGACCACTCCAGCGTTCATGCCAAAGCTCATCTCTCTGCTCTGTCAGGTTTTCTGTTTACTTCTTTTCTCCAGCTAGTCCTGGGCCTTGAACCTGGGCCTGGACCCTTTCCCTGAGCTCCGTTTGCTCAGGGCTAGCGATTTTCCACCAGAGCTAGCACAACTTCTGTCTTTGTCTGTGATTAGTGGGAGATAAACATCTCACAGAATTTCTGGCATAAGGTGATTTTGAACTGTGATCCTCAGATCTGATCATCCTGAAAGCTGGGATGACAGGTGTGAGCCACCAGTATTGGGCCATTTTTTCTTTCAAATTAGCTTCATTGTACCAAATTATGGGTTTCCTTATGACATTTTCACACAAGTGTGTAATGCACTTTGATTGCAGCCTCTCCTGCCCCTGACCAATCTTGCTGTCTTCCACATGTTATTATCATTCCAGTTTTATATTCATGCTTTTGATCTTGTCCAGATCTTTATCCCACCTAAGAGACAAAAATACAGTATTAGTCCTTTGGAGTCTGGCTTATTTTCATCAACAAAGTGTTCTGGATTTCTTCAATTTTTCTTCCAGTGATGTAAATTCATTCCTTTTTATAGCTGAGTAATTCCATTCTGTATACATAGCACACTTTCTAGGTTCATCCTTTGAGGAATCCATGAAGTGACCCAGTCTGATCCCCAAACTTTTCCTATTGTAGACAGTTCAAGACAAACACAACTGTGTGGTCACTATATCATAGACTGCCCGAGACCCCCTTGGGTGTGTGCAGGAGTGAGGAGAAGGATCATTGGTGACTTGGCTTTTAGTCTGTTGAGGGTTTTCCATTCTGAGTCTCATAGTGCACTCGCTCACATTCTGAGGGTACCATGGAAGGTTTCTTTTCCTGCATCTTTGTCAGTTCCCATATCTTTTCTTGATGATTATTAGGGTACAGTGTTGGGAGCCAAAAGGGAGTCTCTCAGCATGATAGGCTTGACTATCTCACTGGAACATCTTGAGGCTGTTTACTGAATCTTATCTTTTCATCCTGCCCCAAGCAAACACCCTGTAGCTGCTAACGACCACCTTTGCACACTGCCCTAAGCAAACATCCTGCAGCTGCTACAGCCAATGAAAAAGCTTCCTTATTCCAAGCATATAAAAACCACTGTGTGAAAAATAAAAATTTGCAGCTTGATCAGAATCCCTGTCTTGCTGTCATTCTTCATGTCTCTTGTCCCTTCATTCCTTCTCACTTAGGTTCATTGCCCTGGATTAAGTCCTGCGGGTCGGGACAACTGGCACTCAATGTGGGGTATGAACCTCTGACTAAGGAAGGAATGCTGTCCTCTGAGAAAACTTGGCCAAGTACAGTCTGAGATCACCTCGACCGACCCCGCCGAGAGACAGATCCAGGAGGAGAGTGAGGACGACTCACGGTGAGTGACCCACCATGGGACAAGCAATATCATCACATGATCTATTTCTGTCAGACCTCAAGGAGGCCTTCAAGACATGGGGAACATGGGTTAAGAAAAGGGATTTACAATTATTTTTCTCATTCATAGAGGACTTGTGTCCTGTTCCCCTTTGAAGGAACCATAGATGCAAAAAGATGGCAAAGAGTAGGAGATTGTTTAACAGATTATTATGAAACCTTTGGTTCAGAAAAGGTTCCTGCTACCACCTTTTCCTATTGGAATTTGATTAATAACTTTTTAAAATATTCTCAATTTGATAGTGGAATTTTAAAACTTGTAAAAACGGGAGAGGAGGTTCTCCAACATGCCTCTCGGCCCCCCGCGGCTTGCCCATCGGTTGTTTTAGATATGCCTTCTGGTCAATTTACTGAAAATCCCTTCCTTTTTGGCCCAGCCCTTCAAGGGCCCACTGTCCCTCCAGATCCAGATATTTTTTCTCCCCCCCCCCTTTACCTAACCTGGCACCTTTACGCGAGTCCCTTCAACATAGGCGAGAACACCTTCAACTTTTAAAAAAACTGTGGTCCCTTGATTATGAACTCTGCACACTGGCCTTGGCTGATACGCCAAAACCGCCTAATAAAATTAACGTTATATCATGCCATCAACCAGTTCTCGCCTTTCCAGTAACTCGGAGCCAGACAGATAGGACCTCAGAGGGTGAGGAGGATGAATCAGAAGAGGAGGAAAAGGAGGATGAGGAACAGGATGCTGGGGATGAAGAGGAACAACCCACCCAGAGAAAAGGCCAACAAGAGTATAAGAGGCTTAGCCTTCAGTTTGTTGAGAAGCTTAAAAATGAATGTGCCCAATATGGCCTGACTGCCCCTTATATGTTAGCCTTGTTAGAAAACCAAAGTGAGCGCTGGCTCACCCCTAATGATTGGAAGTTCCTGGCTCGCGCCACCCATAGTGGGGGTGATTTTCTTTTATGGAATGCGG